ACCTGTCCACGTAACTCCTTGGAGAAGCCATCAGATACTTGTATATTTAGCTAAAACTGTAAAGAGGAACACAACTGCAATACAGAAAAATAAAAACCTGGATTAACCTGAACTCAAAGAAAATGTTCTTGATCCAAGGAATAAGAAAATTTCCTTAATTACAATACTAATCCTTGTCCAAGCTTTACAAACCAGTCAGAAAGCATGACAAATCTTTGATTCACCGGGTCTTCTCGAGCAACTGCAAGCAACAACCTCTCCACTTCTATCATGCTCGATTCTCCCCATCTCACCTACAATAAGAGACCGGCGGGTACGAACTCAAAATCAGATATGCCATTGAACTAAACAAGTTTCTAATTCATCCTTCCACTTTCCGTCTACCAACCAAAAATAGAAGAAAAATTACAGCTTCGAAACTTGGAAAGTTCTGTGCTTTCACTACCAACAAAAGCTCAAAACTCCAAACCATAATTCCCTTCTTTCCACCATCTGAAACTCAAAATACAAAACCGAATATTGATCACCTTAATGCTATTACTCAATTGGCGACCATGAAAGAATTGCGAGGCCGAATTCAATTCATCAAAGACAAACCCAGGCTCCGAGAGTATATATAATACAGAAATTATCAGCATCAGCATTCTGCAAAAACCAAACAACTTCAGATTCTGAAATTCATATAGCTTTACCAAGAAACTGCATAAATTCCTTTTCATTTTTCATAGAACTGTGCACAAATTTGAAAAACAGAGAAACAGACCTCAAAGAAGGTGCTCCAGAGAAAATCAAGAGGTAGGTGTCCCGACGCGCGACGAAGAGGAACTCGATCTTGGGATGCCCGTCGTAGCTATTTAAGGAAACCCGAGTTCTCGTCCAAGCGCAAGATAAGGAGTTCGGAGAGGCGACATCGGCCCGAAAAAATGGAGGAAGGCAACGACGGAGAGTGCGACGGAGAGGACAAGGACGAGCTTCCAGCCCAACCAGATGATGTGGCGCTCGGGGATCGGTCCTGGGACTCTCCTTGTCGTACTTCACGATCGCACTATCACAAGGCAAGGCATTCTGAACGTAAACCCCTGAGCGTCTCAAGTGCTCTTGAAAACCCGAGATTCTAACTTAAAATTCTGGAGTTGAAACTAAAAAAAATTATGAAGTTATGAACCTAAAAATCAGAGGTTTTCTTTCCTCGTATGAGAGGAAAGGGAAAATACATTGAATGGATTAATTAAGTGCTCTTTGGATTAACGGAAAATGAAAAGAATGGAAAGGATGGGAAATTGGAAACGGTAATGTTTTACTTTTAATTCCAATGGTAGGTAAGATTATAAGTTTTTAAATTTACCTAATATTTAATAAAATATAATATAATATCAAATAAATACATATATTTAATATTATAAATAAATATTTAAATAAAAAATTAATTTATATAATAATATATTTTATTATAATATTATAAATTTATACTATTATATAATATTATAATTATTCATATTTTCAAATTGAAAATTTCGTACCGCGAGTTTCT